GCCCTTGCTCTACCCTCTTAAGCATCTCCTTTGCCATCGCTTGCGCGGGACGTGTTTGTGGGTATGCCTGCGCCGACTGCCGACGGTCGTCTTGTTTCGGAGCACTACAGCCCGTTCTCCCACCCTGTAAAGCGATAAGTTGTAGGGTGGTACTCGCTGTGTACGTAGGCACTGGAATGCTGGACAGGAAGCATATTCAGAATCCAGTGCAATAGTTGCTCCCCCAAAATTTTGCTGGGTCAGAGACTGCCTATGCATGCATGTTTGCACTTCTCAAGTGATGCTCTTTCACAGCATCTCTATCATGTATTGCTCTTTGTTCGTCAGATTATTTTGCTCTTCTTGCGTGGTGCTGAAACGAGTCTCTGTCCTCGTGCAGGGTTCTCAAGGAATCAAGATTCTGATACAGCTCCCCTGAATTCAGCATGACGCCGGTGGTTCATTGCTCTGTTGGCACCATCAGCCTGTTCCACATAGGCAGTTTCAGGCCCAGCCGAGAAATCCAGATAAGAAGGTTCCGTTGTTCAGAGAGGTATTCAAGAGTCACATCGCCCTCGCGCCATGGGCTGCTGCAGCCACAGACACCATTCCACTTGATCAGCATGTACAAAAGGAGCTGGTCCTCTGCTAACAACAGGCTAAGGACCTTGTCAGCAGCAGCTGTTGGGACCGATGTCACGGTGGAGGGTTCGTCATCTCCGGCAGGAGAAACTTCCGATGCCGCACCTGCCGCTGCTGAAACTACTGGGCAGGCTGTGGCTAGCAAGAGCCCGGCTTCCTCCCCTCCCAAGTTAGGTCGCAACCCACGTAAGAGCGAGATGCCGCCGTTGAAGGATGGTGATCTAGTTCCTGGTGCATCCTTTACCGGGAAAGTCAGGTCTATCAAGCCATTTGGAGTCTTTGTCGACATTGGAGCATTCACCGAAGGCCTTGTTCATATCTCCAGAGTAAGTGACGGTTTTGTCGAAGATATATCTACCCTCTTCACTGTTGGGCAAGAGGTGTCAGTGAAATTAGTGGAAGTAAATAAAGAAACAAGGCGCATCTCCTTGACAATGCGGACAGGTGGAGATTATGTCAAGGAAGCACCTACGGCTCCAAGCGGTGGGAGGAGCCCAACTGCAGCTGCGCCTAGAAGCTCACCAAGGCAAACAAAGGATTTCAAGAAGATAGACGAGGCAAAGTATACACGAGGACAATCTCTGACTGGCACTGTGAAAAATTCGACAAGAACAGGGTCATTTGTGACACTGCCTGATGGAGAAGAAGGATTCCTCCCAAGGGAAGAGGAAGCAGCGGCACTGTTTACCCTTATCGGGCATTCCGCACTGGAGGTTGGTCAAGAGGTAACGGTGAAAGTGTTGAATGTAGCACGAGGCCAGGTCACATTGACGATGAAGGGGGGAGAAGATGATGACGACGAGTTGTCGTCGTTAAACACCAACCTGAAGCAGGGATGGTCCAGAGGGACCAACGCTTTCGAGTTAGCTTTCCGTAGGAGCAAGGAAATCTCTGCATTCTTGGACCAGAGGGAAAAGGTTACGGCTCCAGAAGTGAAAACAGAAGTTGAGACTGAGACTTCAGTTTCAACTTCTGGGGTTGAAAGCACCGTTGACGACAAGCTCGTTGAGCCTCCTACTGAAATTGAAAGCAAAGAGGATAGTTCTTTAACAGAAGCTGTCACTGGCGTCGTTGAGCCTCCTACAGTTTCTGTTACTGAAGTTGAAAGCAAAGAGGAGGACAGCGCTTCAACAGAAGCTGTCACTGGCGCCGTTGAGCCTCCTACAGTTTCTGCTACTGAAGTTGAAAGCAAAGAGGAGGACAGCCCTTCAACAGAAGCTGTCACTGGCGCCGTTGAGGAAATCACTCCTCTTGATAAGGTTGAGGAGCCAGAAGAATCAGTGCCGGAGGTTCCTGCAACTGCAAGTAGCGAGCCTGCTGTGGTAACTGAGGAAGTAGCAGCCTCGGATGAGAAAACCACAGAGGTTTCTGCTGCTGGAGCTGCAGAAGCAAGCACAACCACAGGTCAGCAGTAATTTTGTCGACAAGATCTTATCTGCAAAAGGCCCTGACATGTAGTAATTTGATCAGTCACATCCTGTCTGCGAAAGGCTCTTCAAGCAACTCTACCTAATTAGGAAGAGTATTAGGATAGATTGCATGTAAACTGTTCAAGCAACTCCTTTTGCCAGTTCTTTTTACATTTCTTCTTGTGGTATTGTTCCTTACTTTGGTAAATGACGCAAGAATCAATGCACTTAATTTTGTTTCCTCGCTGGCTCAAAGGTTTGAGTTGGTCGGATAAGCCTCAACATGTACAATCCAGATATCACCTCATCCGCCACTGTACAGTTTTGAACTATGGAGGATAAGCCTCAACATGATACTTTGGTTTGGCTTCAGTTTTTGGAACATCGCATTAGGATGCTTTCTTCCTCTTCATTTGCATAGCTTCGGTCTGATTTTTGTTTTGTTTCATGTGGCAACTACACATTTTCCTACAAATTTGTTGACAGCACTGAAAGTTTTAAGTTTTTTGTTTAATATATGGCATAAAGAGATTTCTCTATGACGTGTAACTGTGTCCCGTAAATGCATTTAGAAAGTGATTGCCCGATGCAAATTTTGATTTTCAAATATCAATCAGAACTTATTATAAAATGCGACACCAGTTGATGGTCCTAAAGCTTTTATGGATGCAGTGTAAGTTAACAGGTGCACTAATTCTTCTAATTAACACCTCCATTATTTGCAATTTCATTTTAAAAAACATACCTGTCCCTGCATTTTCTGCAGCACAGTTCACTGCATATTGTACTTTATTGATGAACTGTTGTTAGGGCAGCAGAAGAAAGATTTTGATGTTCTTTTCTGCATCTGTGCAGCAACTATTTCTCCTGCTCTTGTCAAGCAGTTGCGTGACGCAACTGGAGCAGGCATGATGGACTGCAAAAAGGCTCTTGCTGAATCGAGTGGTGACATTGATAAAGCTCAAGAATTCCTCCGGAAGAAAGGGCTGGCTGCTGCTGACAAGAGGGCTGGAAGAGCCACTGCAGAGGGAAGAATTGGTTCTTACATACATGACAGCAGAATCGGTATCCTTATTGAATTGAACTGTGAGACTGACTTTGTATCACGAGGTGATGTCTTTAAGGAGTTGGTCGATGATCTTGCCATGCAAGCTGCTGCTTGCCCTCAAGTAAATTACATTTCCATTGACGATGTCCCTGAGGAGGTTGTGAAGAAGGAGACAGAGTTGGAGATGCAGAGGGAGGACTTGCTGTCGAAGCCTGAGCAGATCCGCGCTAAGATTGTCGAGGGCCGAGTAAAGAAGAGGCTTGGAGAATTTGCATTGCTTGAACAACCATTCATCAAGAATGACAAGGTCACAACGGGTGAATGGGTGAAGCAAACTATTGCTACAATTGGAGAGAACATGAAGGTGAGGAGGTTTGTTCGGTACAACCTGGGAGAAGGGTTGGAGAAAAAAAGCCAGGATTTTGCTGCTGAAGTTGCAGCCCAGACAGCCGCGAAGCCACCACCAGCTGCTCCTCTGAAGGATGACAAGCCTGAGGAATCGGTTGAAGCTGCAGAGAAGTAATCTTCCTCTCAGAATCTCATGTTGCTCATATGTGCTGTTTATGTTTCTTGGGGTGTGCATAATATGTGCACCAGAATGTTTTTACTGTCTTGGCATTTCTAACTTCTAATTGCATAGATCATTTCCCCTAAAGTCAACACTCAATATAACTTGACATACCTATGTTTCCAGGAAACCAGCTGTGGCAATTTCAGCTGCATTGGTAAAGCAACTCCGAGATGAAACTGGCGCTGGTATGATGGACTGCAAGAAAGCGCTGGCTGAGACTGGGGGTGACCTTCAGGGGGCTCAGGAGTTCCTCAGGAAAAAGGGCCTCTCGTCTGCAGACAAGAAGTCTTCTCGCCTGACCGCTGAAGGCCTGATTGGCTCGTACATCCACGACAACCGTATAGGGTGCATGATTGAAATCAACTCTGAGACCGACTTTGTGGCTCGCAATGAGAAATTCAAGGAGCTGGTGAATGACCTCGCAATGCAAGTGGTGGCATGCCCACAGGTTGAATATGTCTCAATGGAGGACATACCAGAGAGTGTTGTCAGCAAGGAGAAGGAGATTGAGATGCAGAGGGAGGACCTGCAGTCGAAACCCGAAAACATCAGGGAGAAGATCGTGGAAGGGCGGATATCAAAGAGGCTCGGAGTGATGGCCCTCCTGGAGCAGCCCTTCATCAAGGATGACAGCAAGACGGTGAAGGATCTCGTTAAGGAGACGATCGCCGGCCTGGGGGAGAACATCAAGGTACGGAGGTTTGTCAGGTATACCCTCGGCGAGAACTGATAAATGAGACAGTGACCTCCGCTACAATCCATGGCATCAGGAGCCGGGCACATTTTGATTCATCGTGGTGCATAGCTGCTGCTAGTTTGTACTGAGTTCCATGTATAATTTTGTATCACTTGTTACCATTGTTCCTGGTTACAAACAACACACTTTTTTGCACACCTTCAATGTAGATGACAGGAGAGATCAATATATTGTCCATGAAAGGATTACGGCAAATTAAATTGGTTTCTGGTTCCATGTTTTACTTCAGAGTTTTTGCTTTAGCCAGAAGAATTGATTTTACACTTTTTATCCCTGGTGGTACTATATGAAAACATAGGTCGAAATGTCTTTCACTTATTAGTACAAGACAGATGAACATACTGCAATTGCAGATTACATGTGAAAAATAGTACAAGGGCTTATGATGTGTGCCCAGTTGCTCAAAAACTATGACAATTGGTACTCATGATTAATGTTACAGTGTGGTCTACACAGGCTCAACAGTATCCCTAAGATTTACAGGCTACAAACAAGATGTTTCACTACATGTTCATGTGAGTTACAGGAGCTTCCACATCCAGCGCAATTCAAACAGCCCGCATGCTCTCCCGCTCGACGTTAAAATCCAAACCATCAATCCAATGTAGCAGCTCGGGGGGAAGATTGCCCACCAAGAGACACGGAAGCTAGAGATGATGCCCAGACTCTCATGTTTATGGCTCCAACCATGAGCCTCCATTTGCTCCACATCTTCCTTACATCCACGGCATGGGGCACACATTCGAGCAGCTGGGTCAATTTGGCAAGGACTCCAAAGTTGGCATGCCGGAAGTATTGGGCCCACAAGCCTTTGATGCAGGCGAAGAACTTTGGGAAGAAGAACAAGAATATCCTCAGGCAAATAAAGAGGATGCTGAATGCTAGGTAGGGCTCGCTCTTCACTGATTCGCTGACTGAACCACTCCAAAGCTTCGCATACTGTGTGCTTCTTTCGGTTGTGTTCCCCTTCCGTGGACCAAGATATGCAACTGGTTCTTGTCCTGCATCGAACAGAGTCTCTGTTAAGACAGAACAAGAGTACCACCACATACTTCCTATTTTTCTATGAATTTAGTAACATTATCGAAGTGTGACGAGCTAATGCTAGTGCAGTATCTAATCTAACAATCTACTGGTTAGGTTATAGTAAAATAATGGCAATTACATCTGTGCATATTTAACATACATATAATTGTATTGCCATTTCTCCTCCAGAGAATTACTGTTGCCATCTTATCCATAGAACTACTATTCCCGTCTTTCCAGTTGTGCCAATAGAGCACAGGCTGTTTGGACAGTAAGATGATTAATATTTCATACTAAAACAGTGGCGTACCACTGTACCCATAATTTGCTAATCACATAAGGATATCAGGTGGGTTACAACTCAGTAAATGCACAATGAGCATTGAGAAACCTACCAGTAACAGCAGAGTAGAAGTTGACCAGTGAGTTGAGATCTTTGGCAACAAGAGGCCAAAATGCATATGACTCATGTGCTATTAGTATAGAAGGAAGGCTGCGGACACCATATCTTGATAAAACTCTGCAAATCATAAGGAGGTATTAGTTAAGGCCGTCGGTCATATTAATGGGCAAGGATGACAGGAACACCACTACGCATAACGGTCTTACGTTGGCATCACGTTGGACTGTTCTACAGCCAAGTGCTTAATATGTGGATACATTGAGCTAAGATCGTCGAAGATTGGTCTCATTCTATGAGAGAAAGGGCACCATGATGCATAGAAGAGGACAGCAGTGTACTCCTTTCCACCCAACTCTCTGATAAGTTCCTCCCCATTAACCTGCAAAGTTTTTCAAGGTGAGGTTAATATTAAGCACGGCACGGACCAAAGGACTCACACTTCATAAGAGGATGATTTTCAGTCTATTTGCTAATTATCCACACTACAGCAAATTGACTAGAGAGCAGAGACTATAGGGAACTGCTATGGCATAACCATCATATTACCGCCGTTTCATTGGCAGGCAATCCATTGAGGCATTTAAACCTCTTAGAAAAGTGAATCCAAATGCAGGCATCCCAAACGCTCAATGGTAACTTATACGTTCTGATTCACTACTACATGAAATTTTATTTTACTTGCAGAATGAACTGACAAGAACTGGTGTCATAAGCACAATAAGTTGCGGAAATGAGGACACTGATCCGCTCAATGACACCGAAACAACACACGGAATCTAGCTGAATTGCCCCTAAATTGGCATCTTGAAAAGCTTGAACCGATGAAAGATGCCAACGCATTCCAAATAAATTTATTTTCGAGCGCAATATTTGTGGAAAACAAAAGATGATTTGATGCAGGATAAGAGCCAGACTAGCCACCCAACTGAACCTTCATACTCCTGCGTTGACTAATACCCAATCAGCTTGCACAAAAATAAATAAAACAAGAACGGTTTATTTCGCCCCGAATGAAATTGAAGGGAAATCGCCTAACCAAATCAAAACTATAGAACAGAATCCCATCATGATAAACGTCAACTTTTTCCCCCAAGAATTGCAAAGTGAATTCGCTCAATTTACTTCTGAAACCTGTAAAAAAACAAAACTAACTTGGTGGCACCTAAATAGCATTAAGATTTAGGAACCGGACATTAAATTGTGTGACATACGAATCGAGGGGCGAACCCGAATTCACGAGAGAAAGAGATCGATGAAGAACCGTACGAACGAATCTCCGGATTCATCCACACAATAAATGCACAGGCACACCCAAAAAAAGCAAACAATTTGTAGCCAACCAATCGAGCTCGGAGCTATGGTTGAGATACGCACCTCCTCGGCCGGGTGCCCCTCCGTCGCGGTGCGGCAGGTTCGCCGGAGCCCCTGGAGGAACGGCGGCGGCCTCTCCTCCGGCCTTCGGCACCGACCAGAGTGTGCCGCCGCGAGCGGGTACGCGTGCACCTGGGACGGCACGGGGAGCTGGAGGAGCACAAGGAGGAGGAGAGGGGCGGCGAGGAGGCGGCCGGCCATGGCGAGAGGGGGGAGGAGAGGAGTGGGAGGAGGACGCGTCGTGAGATTTCTTGGTTGTTTTTGGAGGTCAGCTTTGTCACCAGAAAGAAAATGTAAATGTAACAAATTTGGAGGGTGTTTCCGGACAAGAGCAGATTCTCGGAGGGCAGGAACGGAAAACCTGGCACTAGTAGTCTATACTACTATTAAACAATCAAACAAGAACTTCTTTAAGCACACCCCACAAAGCGTACACAGATCCAATACAACCGCACGATTAGGCCAAGTAAAATCAATCTAACGGTTAGCCTTAACCTAACCCATTTTCTGTGTGCACTTAGTAATTTACATTGACTGACCGTACTCCACCGTGGAGGAAAATATGAAACTCCACACCTAAGCAATTAGGAAACTAATAATCACAGGTGCATCCTATTTTAGGAAACTAAATCAGAGTGCATCCATCATATTAGGAAACTAATCTCACACAAATCCATCCTATTAAAAAACTTATCTCGGACGCATCCATCCTATTAGGAAGCTAATCGCGAGCCGCCTGCCGCCATCATGCACGCTAGCCACGATGTGGGAAGCGCGAGGAGCTTCATCTTTCTCCGGGAACACACGTGTTGTCGCCACCATCATCTTCTGCCTGGAGGCCAGGTGCTCTTCTGCCGCTACTGCGACGACTCCATCCACGTCCAGGGCATGCTCTACGGCAACCATCGGCAAACTTGAGAACATACTATTTAAGGCCTTATTTGCACCGCCTCTCTTTTTTTGTCTGCGCGCCTCTTTCCTCCAATAATATTAATGAATAACTTTTTTCGGATCAGGTATTACACTGTTACAAATGTACCTATTTTATTTTTCTTCATAACTCATCAGTATATGTACGTACAGATCGTCTTACAGCATTGTAAGTTAGTATGGTTGCCAAAGCATAAACACATACAAAACCGGCTGAATACTTTCTATCATGATAATTATTGGATTTCTTTTAGCCCTTTTACATTTCAATTAGTTCTTGTATATCATATTTATTTTATATAGAAGTCGTTGTAGTCACATATCATCTTCTATTTCCTATTATCCATAGTAGATAACTATATAATTTTGGCAATCCACACAACCAAAAAATATATGTAATTTGATTCAAATTAGTACAAGTATATATTTTGCTATGCAGATTAGTAGAATAAAATAAGATTCGAGAATTAAGCATCTTGAACAATATAGCTGCACCGTAAGGCAGTTTATACTTTTTTTCCTGGCTACACTCGAAGAGAAGACTACACTACAAGCCAATATTACTGCATTAATAAATAATTGCTGATTTTATTTAAATGAGAATATTTTCCTATGATTACTCTATGCAGCAACATAACCACTATTGTATCTCACTTTTGAAAATACAATTTGAGCGATATCAAACATTGTGTATCCATTTGATTTATATTTTTAAAAACATTAATTTTTTTATTATGTTAATCTCACTTGAATTACATTTGAGACGTGCGTTGCACGTGCATGCTTACTAGTGTGTACTAGTAGTTGGGATTGGAGTTGGAAAGCGTAGTTTAGCCCTAACCGGTTTATTTAACTCGCGTTGTTGTTGTTTATTTATTTTGTTGCCTGAATTGGTTTTCTCAGCTTTGGTGGATTTGCCTCACACTTTCCCTTCATCTTTCCTTTTCCCTGCCAGGTCAACGCTGAGATCATCGATAACACGTTTGACCTAGACTAAGCATTGCACGAAGCATGAACTAGGTGGCTGACTAGCGGAGCATGGGAGGCGAGAATTCAAGCGGTATGCCAGTGCAAAGAGGACGTGAATGCTTTTGCAGCATTATTCTCTAAAAGTTATCAAGAATGTGCAAATTAGGATGAGTCACATATAAATGTCAACTAAGGAACTCTAATCTCTCTAATGTCGCTCATCTACGATTTCTATAGACTTAGAACCACACACAAGAGTTTGCACGAACGCGCGCGCGCGAGAGGGAGAGAGAGAGAGAGAGAGAGAGAGAGAGAGAGAGAGAGATGACCCTGTGCAATGCGTGCTAGATCAGGTGTTTGTGACTAGTGATTGGGAGACTAGATTCTCGTGATGGTCCCTCGCAGCGGAACTTAAGCTGGGATCCAATCATTATACTCTCCAGTTGTTCTCTAGGGAGGAGGAGAGGTGGCTTGTGAGGCGTTTCTTCATTGAGAAACAATGGTTGATCCAACTGTTTCTTGTGGACATGGTGATCGACGTGTGAAATCAGGCGAAGGCTCGACCCCCGCACCAATGCGTGCCTTTGTGTGATGAGTTGGATGGATGGCAACATTGTATTAGTTGGTTGTGACATCATCTTCGAGGTTGGGCGCGAATATGGGTAGCAATCTTAAGCGTAGGAAAGAAGCCATCATGGCTGAGGGTATGGACTGGACCTTTCGTCCATGGAGTGGGCACGAAAGCATGAGATTGAAGACAAAACTGGCCTTTCTCACATGCTACGAGGAGTTATACTAGCAGCAAAGGGGGAGGTAACAATGGATTCTAGAGGGGGACACGAGCACCACACTTTTTCATGCTATCGTTAATGGGAGGCGGAGCCAATATATGATTAGGGCTCTCCGGATGGATGACACGTTCATCTCTGGGGATCTCGCGCTCCGGCACCACATCTATGATTTATACCACGAGTTCCTAGGGGTCTCGGAGCCGGGAAGGGATCATATCTCGAAAAGGGATTGGGGGAAGGTCGGGTCACGGAGAAGGACAGTATGGAATTTGTGACACCCTTCTTCCTCACAAAGATCATGAAATCCCTCGAGGAAAGTAAGACGCACACGACCCCATGCCCGGACGTTTCCCATGATTTTCTATAAGATATTATAGGCTATTGTGGGATCCCATATTTTTTAGGTTGATTGATGACTTCACACGAGGTCTTATTGATATTAAGGGGCTTTAATATGGGGTGCTAATGTTACTCCCGAAAGTGAATGGGGTGGACAACATTTGGCAGCTTAGGTCAATCACATTAGTAAATGTGAGTTTTAAACGTATGGCAAAAGGGCTTGCCTCTAGACTTGCACCAGTGGTTCATAAGGTAATCCGGCCTAACCAGATGATGTTTATCCAAGGGGGGAGTGTCCTCGATGGGATCGCAATCCTTCATGAAGACATTTATTTCTCAAGCTAGACTTCGAGAAGGCGTATGATTGTGTGATATGGTATTGCACAGAGGAGGTGCTTCATAAGAAAGGGTTTGACCTGAGATGGACTAGCGAAAGTATGAACCCTAGGCCTTGTTTCCAAGTATTGAGACACTATTTTGCCTACTTTTATTACTTGGTACCTAGCTTTTTCTATTTGTTTAGATTATAAAAATATATTTCTACCATCCATATTACACATATATCACCCTCTCTTCGCTGAACCGGTGCACTTATACACTTGAGAACTTTATTCGGTGTGTGGGGGGGGGGACACAAGAGATTTCTTGTATTTGAGCAGGGTTATTTGAGACAGAACCATCTTTAATCTACACCTCCCATGGATTGATAAATCTTAGGTCATCCACTTGAGAAAAAATTGCTACTGTCCTACAAAACTCCATGCTTGGAGGCCCATGATTACTTCCTTTGGTGATCCGGAAATGGAGCATAAAAGGATTCTCGCCTTTTTCCCCAAAGGTGACCCTGAGTTATCGAACCCATGGGAGGATGACGCCCTATAAGCTAGGCTCTCAGACAAGCTTTCTCTAAAGGATTATTCCAGCTTTTGATCGGGTCGTAAATCAAACTTGGCACTAGAAACACTTATAATAAAAATAGGTACGTGTATGAGGTCTTAATGCTTACAACCATATGTGTGTGAAGGGGCCATATATGATCTTAATTTGTGCATTGGAAGTCACCCATCGAGATGTGCTTGTTAGAAACTCAAGTGGGCGATATGTCCAAATTACGTCATGACCAGCACGCATCTTGCATCAAGAGTCAGTTGTCCAACCGAACACCCTATCCATCTTGCAGGGTTGCCTCAATAATTAAGATTGCAATAATAAGACAAAATCATTGGGTGTTTAATGACTACACCTCTTGAATCCCCAGAGATAGGATCTGTGTTACCGTACTAAACCTCTGTCACTGATGTTCAGAATAACACTTCACGGTCTCCCTGCCCTTAGCCTCTCTATGGCTCATCATCCATGATCCTGGGTACCTGCAGGGATGAAGAACGCAAACGAGAAAAGAGACAACTACGGAACAATTTTATTTCACACATACAAGTGTTGGGGAACATAGTAATTTCAAAAAAATTCCTACGCACACGCAGGATCATGGTGATGCATAGCAACGAGAGGGGAGAGTTTTGTCTACATACCCTTGTAGACCGTTCGCGGAAGCGTTATATCAACGCGGTTGATGTAGTCGTACGTCTTCACGATCCGACCGATCCAAGTACCGAAAGCATGACACCTTCGAGTTCTGCACACGTTCGGCTCGGTGACGTCCTCGCCTTCTCGATCCAGCAAGAGGGGCTAAGTAGTAGATGAGTTCCGGCAGCATGACGGCGTGGTGACAGTGTTGGTGAAGAACAATCTTCGTAGGGCTTCGCCTAAGCACTACGAAAACTATGACGGAGGACAAACTAGAGGGGACGGGGTTGCCGGCACACGGCTTGGTGTTTCTTGATGTGTCTTGGGTGCTAGCCCTACCCCTCTATTTATATGTTGAGCCTTGGGGTCGAAACTTGGAGTAAAAGCCTCCACAAATTCGGTTTCACCCGAAAGGCAAGAGTCCTTCTCGGACTCCAGGGCCAGACGCCAGGGTTCCCGGCGCCTGGACCCAGACGCCAGGGACCCTGGCGTCTGGCCCCTGGACTCTGCAAAACTTCCCTTTGCGTTTTCCAAAAACCTTGCGGGCTTTCCCCTTTGGCCCAAATAAAGTGTTCTCGTACCCAAACATTTCGGGAAACATCCGGAACCCCTTCCGATGAATTCCGGAACCCTTCCGGTGACCAA